ACAACAGGGATAAAACACATCACTAGTCTGCATCAGTGACGACAAAACTTTCCTTGAGAGCAAAGGGCACAGACCTCATCATAAGATTATGCAGCAGAAGAGTTCTGCTGCTAAATTTGACACAAACAAGTAATCAAAAGCTTTGTTTTAAAGAAATACATTAAAACACTTTTCTCACCTCTGGAAGTTTAACTTTTGTAACAAAAGGAATAAAATACAGAACAGCTAATGTTAATCTTGGTAACTATAATTTAACTCAATTTGGAGTCGGAACACGCATATATTTGTGAAGAAAAAGCAAGCCTTCAAAATGTCTGTGGAAATATGCTAAATGGGTGACATTAGCAGCCTTGCATTGTTCTTCTCCATGGCTTGCTGGTGCATGAGAGTGAACACAACCAGTTTCTGCTAGGACAGCAGCTCTACTCCCTCAGCACTCGGAACTCGTGATGCGACCTCCAGGCAGGGGCGACACAGCCATGAACGAGGAGGAACCTCTTGTGAATTGCAGCACAAACCATTTCCTGCTTTAAAAGGCATTCTCATCATCAAAATATGTGTTAGTGTTGCTTATACCTATTTCCTAACTCAGTCTTTTGTGCTGTATCTAGAAATACAGTACAGCGGTAATAAGGTAATTAGTATTTTCACTAGCTAAATTACAGAGCTGGCTGCAGAATAAAGCACAGTAGCATCAATATTATCAGTGAAGTATTATACAAAAATAACATCAATAGTTTTAGTATAGTCACAAGATCTAATAATTTCCTCTTTCTCTGTGATGCCTTTAAATTTTATCAGATGAGGAAACTCACAAGATCCATTGACTCCTAGTTCAACTCCAATTCTAAAAATCTAGGTAAATTTTTGTAGGTTCTTGAACAATATTTCTTTCTGAATATGGTATTAGTTATAAAGAACTTAAATTCTGCTGCATCAATCTCTCATATGAATTTAATTTTCCCAGCACTTCTGTAAGTTAACAAAGGAGTAGAACAGATACTTCACAGATGAAGATGATGAATCATAGGGATTTGTAATAATTATCCAAGACCATAAAAGCAATCCTATGTCAGTGTGAGAAGTGGAACCACTGGCTTTGCAATCCAGTCTTACTCCATATTTCCTTCCCCCTCACAAAAGGAGATCTAAAATTCCAACAACCAAGATACTGGAAACCAAGCAGCTATTAGGGAAGAAATTGAAGGAAGCATGCTTTCACAGATTCTTCACATGGTGAGACAATTGTCTGCCACCCGTTCATATCCAGAACTCAGAGGACTCCAATTTATAACAAAGTTGAAAGCATCCCCTGGTATTTTCCATGTTTAAAACTCCCCTTGAGCCAGCCTAATTCACAACCCCCTCGACCAAATCAAGAACACTTGAAGATCTACTCACACTCCATCCACTTCCTAATTACAGTAACTTTATGCTCTACATCACAATACGAGGTTCATTTCCTCCACCAGTTCCATTCAATTCCTTCAACATTTTGTTCATTTGTTTGTTAAGATGCAGATCTCCAGCAGCTTGATCACTTCAGATGAGACAAAGCAATCCCTTGGTAAATCCCTCTGGACACGCAGAACATATTATATGCACAAGAGTTGAACTCCTTGAATTTCCCCTTTTCAGATCCTCTAGGTTTCCAGTCATTCAGATAAAGAAAGGAGCTTTTGTAGACCAGTTAATCCATCTGCTGAATGAAATATGGTACAAGTTCTACACATCCACAAGTTCTGTCAAGGCCCTGGTTTACATCTGTAGATGTAATAATAACTGCAGTAATGCAGACAGAAATCACGGCTCAGGCCCCCAGAGAAGATCTTTAGAGACTTGAGTTGAAAAGTCCCAATGCCACAGTCAAAGGAGCAGGCAAAATGATTTAAAGGCTTTCATTTATTTCTGCCAAAGCACTGGCTTAATTATCTTTGTGTGTCTTAATAAGCCACCTCTGTGAGAGGTACTCTTACTTGAAATGCCTGCATGTCCTAAGCTCCAAAGCAGGCACTGTTGAGTGGTAAGCTGAGACAAACATCCAAAGGCAGTGTAGGGGCCAAGCTGCAAAATGAGCCTGTTGTTCATCTTCTCTAGCACCACAGTCACACACTCGCATGAAAACAGCATTTGAACGAATTAAAATGCAAATCTACATTTTATTATATGAAATTGAGACAAATGATACACACTTGAAGCCTGCCAGAGCAGCTATTACAAACATTAATATAGTTTTAGATGATGACTTAAACCAAATGAGAGGATGGAACAGAAACACTGAAGAAACGCCTTTTGAAACACTACAAGAAAAAAAGCAATTCTTGCCATAGTTCCATTAGTAAAATACAAATTAGCAATAATTCTGCTGTAAAGGGCTAGACCTGTGTTCCTCCAGGGAAGCCTCCAGCCACAAGGTGGTTGTGCAGGCAGAGAAGCAGCCTGCCAGCAAAGAACAACTGCTGGGGTCTCAAACTATGTGGGAGAGGACTTTGCACTGCCACAGCCTAATGGGATGTGGCATCGTCCAGGAATCCTGCAACAAGGGGCCAAACAGCCACTGGCCTAGGCCAGAGCTGCCCAGGGATGTAAAGATGTATTTATGCTAGGTCTGATTTAGATTGTGCTCTACACAATCAGATCGCTTTGAAGGTTTGCCTTGTGCAATCATTTCCTTTGTCAGGAATCAGAAAAAGACTGTGAAAAGACTGTGAACAAATTGTTTAGGCATTGAAATTTAACCCTGTGGAATCCTTACAGTGTAGCACAGTGTGACACAGCAGGAGCACATTTGTCAGGGGACTGAAGCCTCTTTGCTCTCTCTGCACAAAACATATACATTAGCATTGTGTGGGGTGGGGGTGCTCCCGAGCACACGAGGGAGGAAGCCGTGGGGACACAGCTCCATCCATGCCTCTGCTGCCTCCCATCTGCACACAGCCCTCTGCACCACTTCTGCTCTGCCAGGGAAAACAGAGGCTTCCAATCCTTCAAGACTCTCTTGAATCCCTTCCATTGCATTTTGTTTCAGAGGTTGTACGAGATTTGATTTTTAAATATCCATAATGCTCGTGAGAAAATTATTGAGTATTGACTTAAAATTATTGACTCTTAACAACAATCTTGCTAAGAGTCTCAAAGTTTTTCCACTAGCATTAATAGTGCCAGAATATCCTAGCATTAATGTCAGAATATAAACACTAAAATCAAAAAGGCATTTGGTAGAAGCTAGTCAGTTCCAAGGCTTTTCACTTAGCTGTGGGCTAAGGAAAGAACCCATCTGCTGTGGATTCTATACCAACATTCATGACACCAACAGCTTCTGTCTCAGTCTCCATACAGTAAGGTACTGTGCATCCCCTGCAGAGTCTGAGAGCACCAAGTACCTCACAGCAGGAGCACAGCCCTCTGTAGAAATAAATTTTAACACAGGATAGCCCACCCATGTTTTTGTGAACTGTTGAAAAATATGCTGGCAAGAATTAAAAAAAAAAAATAGTAATTTGGAATTTGGCAAAGAAAAGCCACCCTAAATAATTTCCAACTGCAATCAGTCTTTGCTCCTGCTTTACAAGTAATAGATGAGACTATCCTTTTATAAACCCATTCAGTTATATGTTTAAGAAAATAGGTAAGTTTCTCTCCAGTGGAGGTTTTCAAATATTGTCTTTCCTTGTGGCTGCCAGTATTTCCATATCCCATTCCAGAAACACCGTTTAATAGTCTTCAGGAAAAATTTTTAAAAAACCAAAGCAAAAAAAGAAAACCCAAAAAACCCCCACAAAAACAAAACAAAACAAAATAAAACAAAGACCCAAACAAACAAACAACAAAAACAACCAAAAACCCCAACAAAACAAAACAACAAACACTCCCCCAAACTTTTGCAAATGAGAAAAAGAAAAATGGTTAGAACAAAAAAATGGTAAATGACAGTTACATATTAGGGAAGATTAGAGGGTTGTTGCTGTGTGATACACCAGAGGAGTAAGCAGAATGTAAAAGTCTTTTCACTCTCCAAAAGAAGGTAAAAATAGTTTCAGGGTGTTCTTCAGATGGGAAAGAGCTCATACCTCTACATTGATGTGATCTTGCAGCTTCAAGACTTAAGTTCCAAATGTGTTTTAACTCAACTCTTCAGCTATTTCAGCTCTTGAAGGATAAATCCTAAGCCATCTTAGTCCCATCAGTCCAATCAGTGGGACCCAAGTGTCCTCAGAACTTTGCCATCAGTGTTCCTGCAGCCAAGCAAAGCCCCTCTCTCCTGAGCCACACCAATGTGCTGCTGACCCCTGCAAACCAAACCTCCCAGGGTCCTTCCCCTTGTGTCCATGGGAGTTCTGAGTTCACTCTGTCCTTCCCAAGAGGAACAACCATGCACAGACCAAATAGTGTATAGCTCCTTTCCTCCACAGCAGATCCTGCCTTAATTAGGAGGACTTTTGCAGAAGATGCATTATCTCCCAGGCCAGGATCACCACACTACCATATCATGAAGAATTCAGCCCTTGTATCATCTTCATCTCTGATTATTTCTTTGTTTAGCTGCTGCTAACATGTTTGGAGATTTAAAATCACAACACTTTACTTCCTCAAAGGTAGCAGTAGGAGATATCTCAGTGCAGAAAGAATTCCATAATTAGAAAAAGCACGGGGGCCAGCTTTTTTCCCCTCATCAAGCCTGGGAAGCTTTAAACAATATACAAAGGCAAAAGGAGAAAATGGTAATAGTACTGAGAGGGCTAAAATTTGAATGAGATAACAAACTTTTCTTGTGGAAGGAAAAGGAAATGACTGATTCTAAAAAAGCTTCTGTGATAAATCATCACCCCTGCATGAAATTCCATTCATGTATGTGGCAATATCTGGTAGTAATGTTAAAGTAAAACAAAAGGAACAAAAACTTAGCTTATAACAAGTTTATAAAGAACAAAATACGGCTTGCTAAAATTGTTGAGCTTTTTCAGTAGTTCAAAAAGTAGAAAGAGATTTGAGAATCAAGCAAGGCTTTCAACAGCTGTATTTGTATTACAGTCATAAAGGCATAAATGTGAAATGTAGCTCTAATAAAACACTGAAGTTTATAAAACTGGTTGGTAATTTTCCACCCTTTCCAGGAGTATCTCAGAATATCCAGGGGAATAATACCTGAAAGAGAAGCATTTTGTTTGTGTGTTAGACTACAAGGCATGTTCTGTGCAAAGTAATGAAATACTATGCATATTTCTACTGATCAGGAACAAATCCTAGCATTAAACACTGGTCAAGGCATTCTACAGTTACTCCCCTACAATGTTTTAACAACCTTCTTTTCAACTTACATAATCATTTATACTTGGAAGTCAGTTTTTTAAAAATACATTTAGCTTCTTTTAGGGCATGTAGGTAAGCAGCTACATTTTAGATTGGTTCAGCTGCCATAAGCATTGTCTTACTAAGAAATGGAGGTGCTGGCTTCTTTTGAAATGATGGCCTTCAACAAAAAAGCATGAGTTTACACAGAACTGTTGGCTGCAAATGACAATAGTCTGCTGCTGCTTGTCAGACATAAGCACACACCCCAAAACTCACATGAAGTCTACATCCATGAGAGGGACACTGGTTCTGGAACAAAAAAAATTGTCACAGTGACCTTCTCTCTCTCTAATGCCACTCAAGGATGGACACTGCCCAGGAGGTTTTCATTACAGTAGGACTCTATAGTCCCATTGCTGTCCTGCTGTCATTCAACTGGTTTTCCACAATGTTCCAACTACATGCATCCAATGTGCAAGCATCAAAGCTGCATTTAGTTCTTGTTTTCCAGGTTAAGAGAATCTGAAATTTAATACTGTATTATCCTAAAAACATACATCTCAGTATACTTCTAGTTTTGCAGGCATGTGAACTGCCACCTCTGAGCCCTGAAAGCTTCAACTATAAAGAGAGAGAAACATACTTCCATGTAATGTAGGCCTAAAATATACTCAAAAAATCCCCAATGCTTTCCCTTGAAGGAAAATCTATTTACCTTGTTAATTTTCATTTTTCTGGATAATTTCTGCATAATTAAACTCTTTTTAAACCTCCTATTAGTTCTGTGATTTGTAAAGCTAACTTTCCAATGCATTACTGTATTCAGTCTGCAAACAGCCTAAAATAACAGGTCTCCAGGACAAACCCAGAGCTGGATTCTATCACAGCTGCTGTGCCTCAGGCAGCACAACCAACATCAGGCAGAAGCACAGACAGGCAAGCAAGAGATGCTCAGAGGGGCCTTTTTATTTATTACATCCCAGGCTAGATGAGTAACCTTTTTTCATTTACAGGGGGGAAAATAGCTATAACAAAGAAACATTATTAATACCCAGAAATGCATAAACAAATTCCTCTTTCCCTCTGAAGTACAAGCTGCAGAATAAAATTTCTTTATGAATTTGCTTTTCCCCATTTGACAGCCACTGGCTTTTCTTTGTAGAGACAAACAGGCCTTCATTTTGTCAGACTTAGTTTCTAGCTACTATTAGCTGAAGAACTCTGCTGCTGTAATTAAAATTGATGATGCAGATTTTCAGAGCCTGTAGAGGGAGTACATGAGTACAACATCCTTCTGATGTGTTGATGTAGTGAAGGACTGGTAAATGGGTATCTAGAATCTAGGAGGGCATTTCTCTCATTATTACAATTTAGGATGGTGACATTTTGACTGTAAGCTATTTAATAGTGTTTCTGTATTCATTAAGGGCAAAGTTCAACCTGGTGCAGACAGCTGGTGTATGGTCCTTTTATATAACACTTAAGCCTTGTGATGAGGCTCAGGGAGGAAGGGCAGCTGTGGGCAGACCAACTGTGCAGGAGAGCCTCTGGACCCTCTGTACATCAGAGGAAGTTTCAAAGGAGCCTCTGAACACTCTAGCTCAGACACACTATTATGAAAGTCAAGGATGCAACCAAAGATTCACCAATACCTGTATTTTTGGAGCCTAAGTAATCCACAAATAAGTTACCAAAATAAATTTCCCACAGACATTCATTAATATGAGTGGCTGTACTGAAGACTCAGAGTCCATCTGGGCAGTGCAGGACTGACTTTATGTCACACTTTCCTGCAAGAGGCTGATTATTTGGGCTTTGTTGACAGACAAAGAAATTTGATTCCAAATACAAAAAGAGAAAGCATTCTAATGTACGTGTCCAGAGGTTGTGTTACTGCTGGGGCAATTAATCAAATGTTACGCTTTGGTTTTATTAAAACCAAATTTCACATAGGAGTTAAATTACTATTTTAAATCCTTCCTTTGTGTTGTTCCTGTGAAAAACATCCAACAATGTTACAAGAATGAGTTCTTTAAATTTCATTTTCCCTACCTTACTATTTCCTCTGGGTAGCAATTGTTAATAGTGTTGATATATTCCTGAAGAAGTGACCCAGGTTCTGCTTTTATTTCTTGAACCTTTTTAAGTCCACCAGTTGTTACAAAGAGACGACGTGCTTTATTGTCATGTGGTAACACCTACACACAGAATAGTACATTTTAAAAAAATCTTTTGAATTAATCTGTATGCCACTAGGCTCAAATATTGCTTATTTGTTTTTAATTCAGGGGACAGATAAAAAGGAAAATTAGAGAAACAACATCTGTAATGACTACTGTATTATAACACCCAGCTGTATAGGGAAAAAAACCCCAGAAACCAGCCCTTTATGATTACAACATAATTTATAATGTACTTTAATACATAACATATATAAAATAATGAATTTAATATTTATCCTTACATAAATAATATTTCTTGAATTATTCCTACAGAGACAATAAGATTGTGGAGAATAAATAGATAATCAAAACAAAACACTAACGTGGAATAACAACAGCATCTGTTCCACTTAAACCAAGTTATTCAGGTCTTTTATGTCAATTCCCACAGTTTAATTGTAGAGCTGAATTTTATATCATTATAATGATCTAGTATAGATTAGTGCATGAAAACAATACTGAGAATTGTTGCAAGTGAACAATACAGCCTTGAAGCATTACATGCTACTATTAAATTCCTAGATATTAAAATCCTTTAACACACTGTGTAGCCATGGAAGCCTTTTACAAACACACACACAAAGCAAAAACGTGAAGTTTCTGCAGCCAAAGGGGATGAGAAGCAGGAATGATCAGACAATAACATTCTGTGCTCCCTGAGTGATGCCAGTACGCAGCTCTGTCCAGAGGACGGCAGCGAGGGAGGAGGGAGGGAGGGAGGAATGAAGGGAGGGAGGGAGGTGGGGGCTGGGCCAGGCGAGGGAGAATGACTGCATGTAGTCCATAGGCCCATAGGGCTGCAATATTATTAAAAAAAAAATAGAGGGAGAAAAAGATAGAAAAATAATGCAAGATGTCAGCTGCATCTACAGCAAAACCAGATGCGTTTAAAAACAACTCTGAGAGTTACAGATTATGAGGGCAAAAACATTTTGTAAGCTTCCACACTGGTCAGACATGAAGCCATAAATTTGACTGTATTTCAGTGTAAAACAAGAGCCTCAAATGAGGAAGGAAGTGCCTAAAAGGATGAAGAAAAAGAACAAAATTTCTTCCATGCATTCAGGCAAATGACCTTCATTTCTGTGGTTCCTCTAGTCTGTACAAAATCAACAGACAGGTAAAGAAAAAGCAGGAGAGCACAAAGACTTCTCTCTATTCTATGCTCCACAGAAGTGTCAGGAACAACTGTGATTTTTTCGTTGTGGGAACTGAGCAGACGTCTGTTTTCACATCTCTCCCACAACAAGAACTGCCAAGGAGGAACTAGCAAGGAGACAGGATATGGCCCTTTCCCTGCCTTCCTCCTCCACACTGTGACTTCCAGCCTGGATAAGACAGCAAAAAATTCTCTGAGAAGGGGCCCTAAAGAGAGAGCACCTCTGAGACACAGTCTCTTCCCCCAGTCCAACCTGAGACAGCAGAGAACTGCACAAACTCTGAAAATGCTAATGCTAAAATACACAGTCCAGCACGAAAAACAAATAGCACCCCATTTTGAAGCACAGCTTGGAAATAAGGCTTTTACTGTGCCATAAATAAGCCCACAGAAGTAACAGACCACAGCTCTAAGAATAGGAAATTCCTAAGCTATGGTACAGGAGAGACAAATGCTTTTACTACAGAGAACTTAAAATTAAGAGAACTTAAAATTAACGCTTCAGAAGAGCAAATGCCAGACAAGTATAGTTTAATAACATATAGGCAAAGGAGAAAATTGAAACAAAACAAAATATCAGCTGATATGAAGGACACAAAACCATTTCAATAGCAAGCAATGTTCAAATATACACTGGATAACCAATTGCTACACACTTGGCTCATTAATAGCTCCAGTCAGAACTAGAAGCAAAAGAGACTGGATTCTGTGCAAATCTCCAGTCTTTGAACAGCCTTAGCAAGAAGACAGGAGAAATGAAACTCTGGCAATGTAATCAGGAATCTGCACTACCAAGAGCAGTGCTTCCAGATCTGTCATAATCAGAACTGAGTATCAAGAGTGTTTTACTTGGCCATTTCCAGAAAGAGCATCTTACCCACAGAGCTTGGTATACCCTGCTAACAGGTTACACTGCAGAGTATCCCACAAAACATAGCCTGCAGTTGAACAGGATTCCCACCATGTCCTGAACATTACAGACACTGCAAGTCTCCCAGTTAGTTAGCAATTACTTACAAATTTTAAATATTTTCAATAAATTGTATCACTTTTACATGCTGCATTCAAATCAACAATGTATTTAACAACTAAGTTTCAAAATATTGAGAGGGATGAGAAAAGATTTGGAATTTTTACACTTATTTGAGCCTGAAAATTAATCAGGATAAAAGGAGTGAAGCCTTTATATTATTGTAAAATATCTGACTTAAGTCACTGCTGTACAGACAGCTTGTAGTTTATCTAAAACAGATGTGACTGGGATTTATGTGATACATTGGCTCAGCGAAAATATTTGCAGTGAGTTAATATTCCACTTAATCTCAAGAGGCAAGGAAGAAAAAAACACCTTGCTTATAAGAAACTGTTTTCCCAGTCTTAGGATGAATTATGGCAGATTCCAAATGAAACAGTATCCAGCTGTATAAGACAAAAGAACAGGATCCAAACTGCTTTGGAAGGGGATGCTTGAGGATCCTGAGAAAACAATGACACCTTTAGAGTAGCTAAATGGGAAAAAACAATTAGTAATTAACATATTACTCAGCAAGAAGAGCCTTTTCTTACCTTACTAAACTGCCCAATAATATGCTTCATAATACTGGGAGGGGCCTCATGAAGCAGTGGTTCAAGTGCTGGAAGATATGTGCATTTCTGAAGAATGCTCTTTAAGGCTTTCTTAGTCTATTGAAATGCAAAATAAACTTTCTGTAGTAAAATATCAACGAAAACAAGAATTCATATATATCACTGAAGTCTGATCAAAAAAGCAAATTGATCAGAATTTTCAATGGGCAATTTCTGAATAGAAACTATGATATCTATCAGGTCACTTAATGAAGAATCAATTCTCTACTTAGATTTATGAAACCTCAAAACCTACAGTGCATCATATTATTATTATGTTATCTACAGTCAAAGTAATGGCAATTTTCCTTTGACTATAATGAAAGCTGGAGCAGACCCTTTAAGGTAAATTGAAGTACTCTAATATAATAAGAAAGTTAAATCAAAACATATTTTAAAAGATTGTATTTTAGAAGTGGCTTACTAGGAGAGGCTGCTGGTCTGGGGTAGCAAAGTGCAGTACGGTCCAGGCAGGGGGGAAAAGAGAGAGTGAAACAATTGTGCATTGGTGCATATTTCTGAAAACAAACTCAGTGGTGACTGATACAAGCAGAAGTAACCTTCTTGGGCAGGATCACAGGTACAGCTAATTTGGCTTCAATATTTTTGGACTACTGGAAATTACTATATGAAAGGTACTTTACACGGAATGTGGTATTTCAGTGGAACATAGAGAATCATAGTGCAACATAGGAGATCATACCCTGTCCTATTGCATTCTTACTGTTGCTCAGAAATACATTTTACTAAACTGCAACTCTACTGGCTCCCACTCAAAGGCCCTAAATATGGGCAGTTGCATGTTTTAAAGAGCAGAGCCTTGATTAGCTGTTACAATTTTATTATAATAATAAAAATGTAGGCAAAATTATTACAAGGACTGTAATATTTTCTACAAGAGCTTATACTTGCAAAAAAAGAAGTGGATAATTAGAAATGAGTCACAAGAAATTACAGCAATATGGGTCTATGCAACTCTGATCTAAACTGGGAAAAAAAAAAGGGATTAGACTGTGGTGGCTGTAGCATATGATTTGGTATACACCACATGCACATGCATTAGGACCAGCCAGTCCCCTCATAAGTGACACAGCACCCAGGAAAGCTGTGACTCAGTGAGCATCAATAAAAACACATAATTTAGTAGTTTTTAAGCACTTAAACCTCTTGATTACAATTAAAATGCCATACTGCAAATACTACAAATCTACTTACTTTTGTTTTTAGATCTTCTGAGCTGCGTGGGTCCACAAAGATATCGAGCAGCGTGGGCAGCGCGTTTGCTACTGCCACATGACGTGCATGCTCAGTAGTGTGCCTTCCAATCTGTCCCAAGGCCCAGGCAGCTGCTGCCTTAATATGATCTTCATGTTCTTCTACCAAGCAAAGACACAGTGGTGGTATTCCCTGTAGCATTAATCAAAAGCACAACCTTTACAAATGTAGACCAGGGAACGACAATGCGAAACAGATATTTAGAAAATGATACTCTGTTTACACTCTTCTAAAAAAGGCTGTAAGAGAATGCATGCTAGTGGTGTCATATTTTTACAGCATTAGTGTCATATTTTTACAGCATTATGATTAGCGAGAATTTTTAATAAATATTAATAAATATGGTTAAAAAGAAACAGAATTCAACGTTCTAAGTCAGAGAGCGGTTTGAACAAACATGCAAATTTAAGTACAAAAAGAATACGCAACATAATTCAGGCTGTACTGAGTAAAGATGGCAGTTTTTCTCAGACTGAAAATAAAAGAATTTGAGTGCTTATGATTCTACAAAATCAGTTTAAGACCAGAAGGGCCCAATCACTGAGTCTTTCTTTTTTTACTTTCCACACTAAATTTCAACGTATCAACCTCTTCTTGAGTCCAGTAGTTCATGTTTGACTCACCCAATCACTTCAAGAAGGGCTTCAATTTTTGATTTGCAGACATGAAGAGGTGGAGATCTCACATCCAGGTAAAGTTGTTCTGGTTCAGGGTCTTTATACTTTCTACACAACTACTTAGTAGCTGATATTTTATGCCAAAACACTCCAACCGGAAACATTTCATGCTACTTTAGGTAAGGCAAGGCTACTAAACCTCTACCCAAAAAAAACCTTTTTCTCCATCCCATGAATCCTTCTTTGCTCTTTTCTGCACAGTTTTCTGCTTTGTTGTTTTGGGTTTTTTCCCCAAGATACTTTTCAAATACAGACAGTAGAACTATATCTATTACTAAAACAAATAGATTAACTTCTCTTTTCCAATAATGCTTCATCTTCTATTCTTTCACACCACAAAGGACTAAATTGTGGGGGGTTTTGCCACTGCCTTATAGCAGAAGACCACAATGAAGTGTTTGTCCAGTATGATCCCAAAAATCCTTGTTCAAAATTCATCCTTTCAGGTTAGAGTACCATGGAATGGAACTATCATTTTACATCATAACATCATCAGTGTCTAACTGCATATGGTTATGCCACAGTGCATTTCTTTCAAATGGTTCCAGTTTACCAAGCCCCATCCTCAGCTCTATATACCACTCCACAATTTAATTTCCCCTGAAGCAGTTTTTGGTTTTTTAATGGGTTTCAGGTTTATTGAAGTTTATTATTATTTCCTTTGTAGATCATTCATTAACACATTTAAATTCATGAAAGTTTGCCCAGATCCCTACAACAGCTCTCACAGCAGTTCCATTCAGTTATGATAGGGATCATTATTATTCTTCAAAAATCTAACTTAGGGGCTTCCTCCAGAATCTAATCCTGGTTTCATCCCACTTGATTTCAAGTACTCAAAAGCAGGAGCATATTTGCTCTAGGCATCACTGAAAGTGGAAAGAGAGACACATCCAGAGAAGAAGGGCCTCCAGAGATGACAAGAAAAAAGCATCTATTTCTTTAATTTTAAAATACAGAAGAGCATTTTTTGGATCACTCCTACTTTCCCTGCATACTATGTTATGCTGTAGCAACTTCCATTTTTCAACTTGTATTTCTACTAGAAGATATTTCAGTTCCTTTATTTATATTGTTTTGTTGCTCCACTCACACATACACTTTGAATGACTGACAGTGTGAAAATGGGTCAAAAATGTTCGTGAAATTGTTTCATTCCTTCTGTTAGCATTAGTTAGCATTATTCACAGACTACTAGGCCAGGCACTAATTTCACCTATTACAAACATTGCAAATTCTCCCTCTTCTATATCATTGTCCAGTAGAATTTATTTAAACCTGAAAACGTATTACTTTACTCATTTGAAATGTCACTTGCAGAACTGAATCAAATCACATTACATAAGAAACTGAGGTCTTTTCAAGTCTGAAGATGGCTGCTGCAAGATACTCCAGCAGCACTAGCAGAGCCTTGCTTGTACAATGAAGAACACACCTTTAAACACAGGTGTTCTAAAGGAGCTTTCAATGCATCCAAAAATACACATTTTAAGAGGAAGCAGACTCCAGAAATTCGGTCACTTATTTTCTGCACCCATGCAATTGCAACACAGAAAAATCACACACTGTAATACCAACTAATCCACAATGTTCTGTAAAAGGTTCAACACCATAAAGACACCCTTTTATCAGGTTGACACAGAATTTCAGTCATAGAAAGCAGCAATAGTAGGAGAAAATGCATTCATGGAGAGCAAGTATATAATCCTGTCACAAAATACATTCTCTGCCTATGTTAATTTGTACCTGTACCAAAGAATACTGCTGAAGAACTACAGGAAGACAACAAAGTGATAGCTAACCTTGGAGACAATCACTGCCATTGACAGGTTCTCCGAGTGAGCCGCCACATAGCCAAGTGTCATGATGCCAGGCAGTCTGACAGTCCCTCTGCAGCTGCCAATACAATCAATCACAGCAGCAACTCCACCTGAATTTACTATAAGCTGGGAAAGCTGAAAAGATAAACAGAAGAGATTAAATACTCTGGAGTATCAACAGGCATAAAGAAGCACATCAGAGAAGCCTTGTAGTGTATTGCTCTTGTTTTATGAAATAAAAGCGATGTATCACACAGACTGTTGGGAACTAAGTGCAGCATCAAGTTTTCAGGAACGAGGCTGATTTGCTGCTGTGTTTTTGATTGACTTTACTGCAAGGAAATCAGGGTTCTGACTCCTTGATGCTGTATAGCATGGAATGACATATTCTCAACTCCATCATCACACACCAGAGAAATGTGCAGATGACAACCTATCACAGGACTGATCTTGAAGATGCACCTAATGAGCCAGATACTGTTTCATCCTAGTGGCCCCTCATTCCCAAACTAACATCCTCTGTTCTGTGCAGGGACAGAGGCAAAGGCCCAATTCCTTCTCTTAGCTGCAATTGAAATTACCTCTGTGGCATAAAATCCTTTGTGGATCCTCATGCCGAGGACTGAAGCCAAGGACAACTGTTCTGGATGTGCAAAACTGACTTGGGCTGCACGGTTAGCATGCTCTGAGGGAAGTGTCCAGGGAGCACACTTGATGGGTAATGGAGTCTGCCCCAGAATGCCAAATGACATAGCCCTGCTTATAAATAATAATCAAGCAATGCAACGTGGGTTTCTACCAAAAGCAAACTTGTCACACCACTTAAGGGACAGCAGTAGAATATGTATGATATCAATAATGCATAGAAATCAAAATTATTTCTTATTCTTATTAGTATTATTTTCTTCCATGTTTTTAGGTATATCCCATTTTAGCATAATCCCTACAGATTCCAGAGCAAAAGGAATGTGTTCTTAAAAGTCAAAATTAAATGAACAAAACTGAGGCACATGAATTCCCAATCCAGTTGATTTCTATAAATACGAAATCTACCTTTATCTTAGAGCCTTTAAAAGGGGATTGTTTTGTTCATTAAACAGCCAGATTAAACTTTCAGTTAGTACTTAGGAAAATCTGCTCTCGTGATTGTGAATTACAGCCAGTAGCAACCAAGTCCCACATCTGGACACAGCCATGTGCACCTGGATGTGCAGAGCTCCTGCCATGTTCCTCAGTCCTCACTCCAAGTCCCTCTGCTGCTGACCTTCACATGAATTTTACTGCATCTGCAGCTAGAGAGTCGAGATCTAAAAGCCATGAGTCTGAAATGACACAGCCAAGTCCTCTAGAAACACCATTTGCCAGCCTGTCTCCATTGCCACATGCATTGCTTGAACAGAGTTCCCAGAGCTGGACAGTCATCTCTGTCACTCTAAGTCAGACAGGGACTGTGACTTCCCATTGGGAGTCACCAAGATGCCTCCCAGTGCTCCTCTGGAGAGCTGCTAGCATGGCCAGGTCCTCTTGTGTGGAGGATCTGGTGCCAAAAGCTCTTCTGGCTTCACCTGCAATCCTGAGTTTGGTCTCTGGCTTCTGACTCTAGAGCCCCCTTTTGATAATTTCTTTACTTTTTTGAGGAAGTGAGTTGCATTGCCCATGAGGTACAGAGAGAAAGCAGGAAATGTGCCAAGACTGTAAACTTTTATCACCAGCTTAAAGACTGGCAGGCTGAAGAAACTGCACAACATTCATGTTTAAACACTTCTCAGTTGTTGAGTTAGCATCATGATTGTGAAATTACTATGCTCAGCATTAGTGTGTTCCACAAGTACATGGCTTATATTTCATTCCAAAGTCATATTTAGTGCCTTTTAATTATCTCTGTGGTCTGGCAGATTACCATAGTTATAATTATATGGTTTTCCTATTTATTTTGTATTGACTTTGCCAAACATCCCCACCTTCCTATGGGTAAAAACACTGTAAATGCTCAAACTCAAATTACAAACTCAAGTTACCATCAGGTTAATAATAAATAAGAGAATTTTTGACCTTTGCTGTCATTGGAAAAATAATTAAAATGTGATCCCAGCACCCCTGAAGATTTTTAAAAAGACACACACCATCTATTATTGTTAAAGGATGATCTTGCAATTTATTAGCTGGTATCATGACTTCTGTGAGGCTTTTCTCATAATATTTTTAATATCTAGGACTGACAGTACTGTCAGCCAAGAACTCCCTCTCTGTGCTGATATCTCATAGAATGAAGTAGCTAGGTATACATTTTATGATTCCCAGTTTCCTAACCCAATTCATATTCAATACACATCTCATAATATCAGCATTTCCATATTTTCCAATGAACATGCCAAACAGCCATTTGCCCTCCCTTTCGAAAAGCAAATGACAGAATAATCCTGTATTTTATTTAAAGTGTAAAATCTAATGATATGACCTTGTATTTGCATTTTCAAGGTTTTACCTCAGGCGTATGCTTTGCTATCTCTCTAATTAAAGTTGCACCATTTTTCTTGACATATTCATCTGAGTCCTTCAGGCATGTGAGCACAACTGGGAAAATTTCTGCTTCAACCACCAACTCTGCAAGATCCACTGAATGCTTTGCTATTTGGCTTAGAGCTGACAGCACCTGACGCTAGTAAATAAAAATTGTTATAAAATCAATAGTATACAAACATCCCACAACACACACTCCCCCTGCACACAAAAATCTATTGCATCAAGGAAAACAAAGCAGGATAGGGAAAACAATTACAGCTATTTTACAATTCACTGAGTCAATTCATGCACAAATATAATGGCACAGAACATTCGCTGGTTCCTGAATAAAAGTTTCTCTTTTGTTTTATCCCATTCAAACTTGTATGTATTAAAAAAAAAAATTATATATACACACCATTTAAAAGTGTAATTTAAAATTTACTAAAATCTATAGAAAGTATTTCTATTTACATAAATTGGATCTGTCAGATCTTATATTAAGAAATCTTTGTGGCATTTTTATGTTGTCTTCTGTTTGGTAGAGTAAGACAGAAAATTTATAATAAGAAACAATTTTTTTTGTCAATTAAACACTAGAAATTAAACCTTTGACAACAGCTATTCACATCAGATAGCACATTCTAAAATACAATAAGTTCACTATTAACTGGCTTATCATATAATCTTTCGTATGCAAAACCTTTTTTGTAACTGAAATGTGCAAATCTTACCTATTAAAAGTATCTGTTGCATTCTTCATAAACTGTATATTTCTAAAAAAACCCCATACTTCTCACTTTAAAGATTAGTTTAGCTGTTCCTTACAGAGCTGCAGTTTATATCCAGTAGCTAAATTTGTAAATATGTGCAGAACTCTTTATCACTAACTACATAGCTACATTTTGTTAACACCCAAACCAAGAGCTTCTAAATAAATATGCACATCCATGTCTTTGATTCAATCTCAAGTAATGACTGGTATAATGGAGATTTAAAAAAAATTAAATGTACCTTCAGTTTAGCATCAGGGTTCGGGATCATCTGAGCTAAGTGAGCGATAGCTCCTGCATCCACTACTGTCTGTGCTAACTCTGGAGAATGCTTTGAAATATCACTGAGAGTTGAAGCAGCAATCCTTTTCAAAGCAATTTCTGGCTCCTGGATACAGAGCACTAAAAGAGGAACAGCGCCTGCATCCACCACAGCTTGTGACAGTTCTGTAGGTCCAAGGAAAGTAATTAAGTGAGTATGGGTGACTGACCCTTGTGCAAGCCATTTTTCACCCTGACAGATACAGCAAAGGAAAAAGGGGAGGGTGTAGTTCACTGTCTCGACATCTGCATTTCAAATCAGCCCTCCTGGTTTCATAAACCGTGTGGACCAATCCACAACTGAAAAGAATGCAGGTCAATAGATGGACCCCCATTTACATGCACACATTTGAGGTAGATTAGGCTGAAATGGTTTGTTATTCTGTTTTCTTTTTCTTTTTTTAAAGTAAGCAGATGTCAGCTGTTTAAACCCTGGCTATTCTGCACTGATCAATAGGAAAGCATTTTATGCATGGCTAACAACAACACAGAAAGCCAAAGTACCAAAATTTTATCAACCAGCTAATTAGAGAGCATTTTACCCTCTTTAAATGATAAGCAGATATTAGCATAGATCAAATGCCAAAAACAAAAATACAAAAAAAATACATAAAAGATTTATCTTACATAAAAGATTGCAAAAATGGAACTTGGTGATCAAAACTAGTCTTTGCTACCGTACGTGGGATGAGACAGAATTTATACTTTAATGACAAGAAAATGTTATCATACACAATTAGACAAATGAGAAATATCATCAGTGATATTGTGTGTCTGAGATTAGCACAATATCCTTAACTAACTGCACCTTAAACAAAAAAAAAAAAATCTGAGCATGTGATTAGCTGACATGGACAAAAATTACACTATTAGAAATTCATTAGCTCTCTCTGTGTATGCAGCATTAATCACAGTCCTAAAATGAGAATTACTGGGTATCAGAAGCAAAATTTATATTATAACCAAGCTGTGCTATTTTAAAATAGTGTTGAAAAAGTGGTAAAAACCATAGGGGATTCAATAATCTATTAGGTTCTTCGTTCAGTTTTGCTACACCTTATTATGCATATCCATTATTATCTTTAACATTTATCTTGACTTACAGTACCATGGCAACATATGGCTGTTGTATTTCAAGACTCTAACTTAGCTTTTGATTTATAGTCCATCCATAAAGAGATTTTCATACTAAGAAAAATACAGCATACTTCATTAAATATACATAGACTAATATAGTTTTTCATGAAATCTGTACGTCATGTCATCATTACGTTGTTAATATCCAAATAATGTCCCAGACCAGATTTGTTTTCAATTAGTGAGTTATAGCCACACACTGTAATACATGTGATAAGTCAAATATTTACACTGTATGTTATTTTATGATACAATATTTTAAAGAAAATATAAATATTACATCAAAAAAATAAATAATGCAATAATTTTTAAACTAATACAATACCCTGAAATTAGCTCAGTTGGCTAGAGCATAGTGCTAATAATGGCAAAGTAGTGGGTTCAGCCCCTGTACAGGCCATCTACTTAAGGCTTGATGATCCTTGTGGGTCCCTTCCAATTCAGAACATTCTGTAAATCTGTAAAATTAACTTTACAAAGTTCATTTTTCAAATAAATATTTGACTGAAAATGTAGTGCATGCATCCTGAAAATACACAAATCATAAGATTTCAACAAACTCAGATGCTGTATTTTAAAAATCTGAAGTGAAGTACACCTGAAATGTATGTCAAAACAAACCTGAAAAGGAGCTAATCAATATAAGTGGAATAAGTTACAGTCAGCTTTTGGTGGAAAAAGCCGTGCCCAGTTTCTTCAGATCGTGTTTTGCTGCTGTACACCGACCAAGTGGAATTCATGGTAATCTACTGACCCACAGTCCAGAGTAACCCCTCCAACTGTGCCTCAGAACTTCAGACCAACCAGAGCTCCACTGCCCAGTGTCTGCTGGGAAATGCTAAAATCAAGAATCTGATGTCAAGAGGGACATGGTGCTAGAAGAATGGGCTTCTTTGATGTCTTAGGAGCTAAAATCATGAAGTTCAAGCAGGGAGAGAAAGAGCAATACTTTCAGGTCACAGCTACACTCAGGCATGCAAAAGTAACCCTAAGTTATTTCAAAAGAGCAAACTAAATCTGATTCAATTTAGATGAGCTCTTGCTGCTAGAAGTCTGATATCATTTAAATACTGATGGTTACTGTTGGTCATGGGTAATTAAATGGTTTTTCTTCCAATGGTGTTTATAAGGTTCATGGCTAATAACTTACCACATGGAGAGCTGGACCATGTGTCAAGACAGACAAGTCGTAAATGGACTGTCAGAAAAACAGAAAAGCTGAGGCAGGGAAGAAAGGAAATACAGTACTTCCCATCTTGTTTCCCCACAAATTCAGCCCAAAATTACAATTCTAGGTATTAATGATGCTATTATAGATTGTAATTCTTTTTTTTCCCCCCTCAAGAAAAGGCTCAATTAATCTTCCTACTTGTAGAACATCTTTAATGCAGATTATACACCAAAGGATTCATGAAACTTTGCCATCCATTTAGAAACACAGACAGAGGTGGGAAAAAATTTAGACTGAGAAGGAGTTAGAGGGGAAAACAAACTCGACAATAAGAAATTTTTTAAACCAAATATTCACTCTGAAAAAATTAAAATAACTAAAACAAATTACAAAAATACTCTTCCAAATACTACATCAAGGCTGTATTATAAGGGCAAAGAAAAGACAAAAGAAAAGACAGCAGAGAAAAGCTAATGTATGAACCTCATTTAATTCCACAGAAGGTTATGAAAACCACAGGCTTGGAACTCACATTGGGGTACAGCTCAAGGAACTTCTCCAGCTACATGATGATAAAGTTGAACTTCTCCCTATGTGAGTGAAAGTAGGAAATTGAACTCTGTTTGTTCAGACACAAGAGAACTATGGCTCAAAACTGCCCAAAAATTCATCACTTTCATCCAGATCTACATAAGGAAGATTTTAGCAAGTGGAGACACTTCAGACAGAACTCAAATGGATGTAGAAGAAAGACTAATAAAGACAAATTTAGGAGTCTGAGATGCCACCAGTTCTAGTACAACTATAAGTTTGTAGTAGAGTTGTGCTGGTTTGTCTCAATACAAAAGTACTCATCAGGGATGAAGAAATTAATTCAAAGTAGGTTGAAGACTTGTCATGAGTTTATGTGATCAGGAAGAGGGGAAAATCAACAAAGTGGAACCAAGATCCTACCTACATACCCACTGAAAACAATGGGAAGGCTTACTGGATTATTCTGAACTAGTTCAAGGTGCTAAAAGAAAAACTCTACTAATATTATCACACTGGCAATAATAGCATGGATTATAAAAACCAGATGAGGATAAAAAAGATGAAGGTGAGAAAGTAAATGTCCAGGTTTTCCCCAGAGAAAGAAAATCAGCTCAATATTATATTGACAATATACAATATTATATCCCCATAGCAGAGCAGCAGCAACACCCCTGGTTGGAAGGAAATGCAAGTTTCAGTTCAGACCAGGGCCCTCAAACAGACCTTGCTGTGGTAGCAGGTGCATCCACAGGAAACAACAGGTTTTGACCAAAACAACCACCAATACTGTATTTTTCTGAGGACTGTGTGATCATGTTATGGCCACACAGAAAGACACTAATTCCCACAAGCAGCCCAAAGGCTGCACTTCAAAATCAGAGGTTTCTGCAGGCCCCTACAACCACAGTGCCAAAGATTCCACTGGAACCAGGGGGAAAACCTTTCACCAGGAGGATGGGAAGTGAGACTCAAATCACTGAAGAGCTGAGGAACTGGTTCTTGTGGCTGATGCTGCTTTGAGCAGGAAACTGGACTAGAGATCTATCAAGGTCCCTTCTAAGCTGAGCTATGGTCCACTGGATGACAGAAAATGAGCAAAATCCTGCTCTTAGCAATAAGCTTCAGTATCAACAGTGTTGTTTATTTTTGTTTTCCTACCAATTTACAATATACTGAAGCATGAGACAATGAATAAATTACACCTTTAATGCAGACAAAGAAAATGGAAAGCCAAATTATTTGCATACTTCAAAGAAAACAATTTTGCATTTTAACTGAATATGGTGTAAGTAAAATGTTACTAAATATTTTTCATGGACCTGATGGTATCTATGGTATTTGAAACATTTTATACTTCTTTTTAAATCAAATCAGTAAAAATAATGAATGGCAAAATCACAGCACATTGATATGTACACTTTGGAGTAAGATCAGTATCTGAAATTCAGCTGAAAGGGAAAGAAAGAGCAGAACTGCACGAGCAGTTTCTAAATTTTGGAATCTGACCTGGCAAGATTTTAACATCTTGAAACCTCATGAGACATTTGTCTTTACCTAAAATCTCACAGGCCTTCTGGAGACATCTGTTCCCAGAAGAACTGCATTTTAAGAGATTTTTATATGAAGTCAGTATAGAACTTGCTAAGCAGAGAGTATTTTCACTGTGGGGGGGAAGCATCAGTTTCTCAGGATGGAAGTCTTTTCATGGGAACATACACTGCAGTTCTTAATAGCTTTACTGGGTCATAGGTGCAACTTCTGATTAAAAGCAGAGAGACCCTCACCATTGCAAACAGTTATCACTGAATGCCAGGAGGCTTTGACTGCACTCACGAAGACAGAGGTTCCATCCTGCCTAAAACAGATCAGGACTTTAATCCCAGAGACATGCCCCAATTATTGAACTTTTCTTACTGGGGCAAACAAATCTCCCTACCCCCCAATCTTTTCAGGAGAGAGAAAAAGTCTTGTCTCAATATTGTCCCAGTTCAAAACTGCAACAATTTTTGAAACTGAAAAACCTTCTGTGAGTGGGGGGAACCATTTTACACCCAGGTCTATTTTTAAAGTTAAAACTGCATTATGTGTCCACAGACAGTCAATGACAGAAAATCATAACCACCAGATTTTGTCAACAGGAGCATGTCAGTCTAATCCAGAGCTTCTTGAACAGTAAACACCAGCTATTGATAAGAGAGAGTCTGTATCCCATTTTTCTATCTCTGGATACCATTTCCAGCAATATCATGTTGCAAAGGCATGCTTGTAGCAGTGCAAGAAACATACAATGCACAAAGTGATCTTTTCTCAGTGTAACTCCTCTACTTTCCATAATCATTTTGGAGACAAACTGTGACTGTTATAGAGGCAGTCAAATCCCCTAAATTGGCTGTAGCTGGGCAATTTTTTCAGGGGTGTTTTGGTGGGCTTTTGTTGGCATTCAGGTTTTTTTTACTGATTACATCTCGTGATCTGTCTATGTCCTGATGCTTGCAGCTTGGTAGCACTCACAATTTCAACCTAATTTCTGAGGATGCTGTTCTTATTGTCATTGTAAATTGACATAAGGTATGCACCCATTCACCATCAGCAAATAAATTATTCATAACCATGGAATAAAAATTTGTACAAGGAATTTTTTTGTCTTCAACACCCCCACATCACCTACATCTTTGCAGACAATGCTGTCACAGAGTGAACTGGATCACCCTAAAGCTCCATCAGCATTCATGCAGTGAATAGCATGAAGGGCAATTGAAGTGAGTCAATATTGATTTAGTGACATAACAAAACTGCAGAAATGTTTATGTTAAGAGTAATGCAGACACACACATTCTACACACATTTATACAAATGAACGTTTTTGATATTTCAATAAATATCTTTCAGATGGAAGGAACAATTATTTTCTATCGAGTGTGGAATTCAATCCTGATGACCAAATGATAAAAGATCATTACCAGAGAGGTGTCCCAAGAATTAATTTGTTCCCCAGAAAATGCAGTCTGTTAGAAAGGTGCTAACAACTTTGGAGACTGTCCCAGTAAGCTAACCTGCTGAGTGGGAAGGGGGAATCCCCCATGCCTTTTGCAGGCCAACATTCTGTATTGATTAAAAAACAAAGAAAAACACTTTCAAAATCAGTCTATGTACGTTTTAGAGCCAAAAACAAATATAAAACTATGAGTTAATGTTATGATCCTATAATTAGTTTAACTTTGAACAATACAAACACTAACTGTTTCTCCCACCCCTTCCAGCTAGCAGTTTCTTCCCTCAGTTCTTTCATTCACAGTCTAAACTTTTACTTGAACTATATAAATAGCTGGTGGAAGAACTATCAACCACGTGGATCAGTGTTTAAATAGGAACATGACACCACCAGTGAGTTATACAACTGCCCGTGAGACAGCAGGGAACTGCTCAATATTGGATTCCTAGGATCTATTCCTGACTCCCAGAGAGTAGTGTGGTCCACTGGCTAATGATAACATAGTGCAATAAATTTGGCCTATTTATCCTGCAAACACTACTGGAATGAATGAGTGAAACTTGCTTCTCCCTAGGCTTCTCCATTCAACTATGTGTATCAAAGAAGAACTAATGCCAAGCAAAAGAAACCTGGTTCTGCAGTAACACCTACACAATAGATAAAGATTCAGAAATCTGTTCATGAAGAGGAATAAAGCAGAGTGTCCTTTTCTGACCAAGGGCCCAAAACATTTTCTCTTAAAGCACCTCTCATAACTGGGCACTGCTGATGTCAGGTATGCCAGTTTCCCACAAAAAGGTACAGCATTCTTGGAATGGTACAGTTACACTGGGGTTTCACCCCAAATTTACAATTTCCTAACTGTAGAGAAGAAAAAGCATATTTTTATACTTACCAAAATAACACAATTTATTATTGTTATCACATGACATTAAGCTAAAAGATAACACACATGAAACTTGTTACCTGGATTGTGTCGAGCAATGTATCCAAGTCCCCAGGATGCACCTTCTTTGACTCCAGGGTCAAAATCTTCCAAGCAAATTACCAGCATTTCCAGTGCTCCAGATTGAACTACTGCCTGAGCTAGTTGTGGAGAATGTTTAGCAATTGCTCTTAGCACAAATGCAGCTGCTTTCTTGTAGTAACGCTAGACAAATCAGAAACAAACAAACAAACTTTCACTAACCTTAAGAAGTTCAAAGCATAATATAGTACAGACATGCCTACATTAGACTTTTTTAGTAGCAGCAATATCTCATATAGACCCAAATCAGGACCACTGGACAGCACACAAACAATGAACCTACAGTTCTTTGGGACAGCTCATGATATAAAATCTGCAGCAGGTGCATAAACAAACAGAAAAAAATGAGAGCTAAGAGGATATGGGGAAAAGAGAATAGTCCAGGTAAGTCTGTTTGTTTAAGTGAGTAGTGAACAACAAGAGCTACAAAAACAATAACTCTTAACATATTTAACCAGATTACACAGGTTATGCAGGGCAAGCTCCTAAAATAATTCTACCCACCTATAACACTTGCAAGGTTTTCTACTTTCTAAATTAGATACCCTCACAACATCTCTATGAGAAAACACTAGTTACATTTGCAAACAGGAACTGAGACAGAGAGAATTAGATCCAATAAAAGAGTTTAAAATCTGAATCCTGAAATGCCTAAATACTGCCTAAACCCCACAGCTAGGAGACTGAAAACCCATCCCACCAACACCCAATACTGAATAACCCCCAATTCTGATCAAGCAGATTGCAATTTTACTCCTGCCTGTGTCCAGAAAAAGCTCCCTTTGAACAGGACTAAGCACCTGGCCCTTTTGCCATAAGGGCACACGAAGCCTAAGCTCTTGTCTCAATTCTGCCCATCTCTCTTGGTGCTGGCCCAATAATGGTTTCAGTATGTATATGTAATGCATGACACTGCACACAGCATGTGGATCCCATGTAAACTGCAGCAGTGATTTCTTCCAAAAGCACAGTTAAGTCTTCCCTCAAAAAGTCACATTTCAGTCTCCTCCTGCAGTTTTATACCCACCACTAGGATATGGAAGATGAAGCTTCCTGTACTGCATTATATTTTCAAAATCCAGAGCCCAGTTAAAGCACTCTGGCCAGAGAAAACCATGTTGTCAGAACGACAGGTTGTTCCCCTCCCTTGTGAAGGGCAAGATTCATGGGGACACAAGTAACCTGCTGCTATGTCTGAGTGCCTGGAGTATGCCCTCCAGCCTGGGCACTGACAGATGATCCCTATGGACAAGCTCTAGAGGGCTCTCTCTCCGTGTGCCAGCTGCTTTTGATCTCATCCCAAGATGCTTGGCTCTCCCCTGCTCTGCACAGGCAGTCTGGGCACTTTACAGTGCTAGTCCTCAGTCAAGGCAGCCAAAATTTAAACAATGCAAAGCCCACATCCCTTCTGGATCAAGTCCAGAAAAACAAAGAACCACGTGAGTGCTTTTGTGCATCCTGTGAGGTACCCAAACACCTTCAAAAGCCTGATCTAAAGCACTAAGATATGATAACAGAACAGTATCTGCAATGACCCCCCAGGAAATAAAACACACCCAGGCCCACTCCCTGGCCCTAGAAGAAGGTGACACAGCATAACACATCTGTGCACCTAAACTCCTCTTTTCTCAAAGCACAATGGCCTCATCTATGCTTCTGGAAACTGTTCCTGCCTTGTGCTATCCCTTAAACCATGCCCAAGCATTGTTGAGTAGTTTGATGTCTGGCATTGGCTAAAACCACATCAGAGAGCATGATTAATGAGCTACTGATTAACAAGCACAGTCATCTTTCAGTGCTCCAACACATGCCCTTACCTTCCTTAGTTTACCAGTACTGATATAATTCCTTGATGCCAAAAATCCAGTTTTCTAAGTTAAGGTCTACAAGCAGGTACATTAAACAAAATTTACAGGCAAAGCATTAAACCTCATTTAGGGGAAACAGAAGTTAATGGAAACAGTACAGACAAATGGTCCAATCCCCAGATAATGTAAGTTACTGTAAGCTTTGCTGAACTCAGTGGAGCCATATTTGTTTACATAAGTCTGTACAAATATGGGTATGTTGTTTCTGTTAAGTAATTATGCTCCTGGCAAAGAAAAACACTTCTTTGTTTTCATTATTCAAAACACATTCTTTAGAAACAAACCATATTCACAGGCATAGCCAGAATATGCTGTAAAACTGAAATTTGCTCAGTTTAATTGACAAAACATTGATCTGGGATGTTACCCTGTGACTGTTCCCCATAAATCAGTAGAAAGAGTATTCACTGTGTGCTCAAAGAATCTCATCCTTAAATACAGATTTTGATACACTAAAAGTGAGTGGAATGGAAAAGGTTTCTTCGCCTGTGGGAAGTGACAAACTGTCTGCTTGCTAAACTCTGCATGAACTGGATGAGTTTCCTCCTCTTGCCCTCAGTCACCAAGGCATAGCAGGCTTTCCATGACCTCACACAAGTCTTGCTGTTGCTTCCCCTAATTACTCTATCTCAGGGTACTTTAGCTAATTTATTGAGGGTTTCAAGTTGTAGCAGGGGGTAGTTTCCAAACCAACAGTGGGTAGAGTTTTGTTCCACATACTCCCTTAAAAATAGAAATAAAAGAACCAAAATGTTTATAACCTTGTCTAATTAAAATCTTTACTTTCTTTTCTTATTATACCAGTATCTTGCCATCAAAGTTTTTCTTTAGTGTTTTCCTTTTCAATTTTACTTGTATATATGATTCTGTATGCACAAAAAGTATGCAATGAGTAAATTTACATCTTTGTTTTCCTCAAAAGATTGAAAATTAAAATATATGGTTTTCCAAATTATATTTCCATTGAAAACCTACTTTTCATAAATCAAAGCTGCAACATAAGTGTGGCTGTGATATAAGTGTACTTAGCCCTACAGCTGTCAGTTTCCAGCTGCTAGGAACCTTACTTGAAAGTATTTCTGTTAATCTAGGTTAGCATCATTCAAAAAATCAAAGCTGAAAGAGACACAGAGCTTGAGGAAAAATGTGAGGGTGTGGAAGAGACCAACAGATTTATTTGCATTGCAATTGTGACTGTACTTTGTTTGGTTTTGACAAATATGAAGATGAAACCCTTTCTGTATATTTTCCCGTGTCAGAGGTTTGTTGTTTCTCACACTACAGATTTCCAAAGACCTGTGTTTGGAGATACAAAGTATTTCATTACAGAAGTTCAGGGGTTTTAGATGTATTTTACATGTGTCTGGTATTATGGACAAAACCTAGTCAATTATCACCACAGCTTCCCAACTGTCTCCTTTTTGAAGAGGAACCTTTTACAAAGCATCATTCAACATTTTTGAAATGTTACAGTGCAATGAATGTATTTCCTATAGTGCATTAAACAGTAATACAATATTGTAAAGTCAAGCTTATTTGAAGTCAGACCTCAGCATACAGTACACAGAGATCTCTCAGGGGTTCAAACATGAATGCTGCTCTGACTTCAATACATTTAATGTCCTATTAGAATAACACCAGATGCTGACACAGAAAGATTTCCTTTTCCCAGCATAATAATTTTTAAAAATATTACTTAAGAGAACAATCATGCCTTACATTCTCCTCAGGCAGTGAACATATGAGCTGTGGAAGAATTCCTGCCTTCACAACTGCCTCTGCCATCTCCACATCATAATCAGCAAGTCTCCCAAGAGCCAAGGCAGTGGTCTGTCGAATACTTGGGACAACATCCAGCAAAAGAGGTCTCAGCAAACACACTACACCTGAGTTGCAGTAGGAAGACAAAAGCCAATTTGGTAAGTTGAAGTTTTTCTAAACATTTGCCTTTACTCGTGCAAACCTACTAAATTACTCTTCCAGGTAATAAGAGCAGGTAGGAAATCCAGGTATTCCGCTGAAATGAAGTTGGCACTTGGATAGCACTGCTGATGTATAGCAATGTTTCTGCCCACTTTTCGTAGGTACAGAATGATTCTGAAATCAAAAAAAAGGCACATGTAGAAATAAGTTGGATTCAACTATCTTTAAAATACATCCTTAAAGTTTACACAAGAAAGGAAGTTACATTCAAACATACATAAACTGCATCTGTTACCGTGTGCATGGGAAACTCCATCTGAAGATCCTGGTGAAAAGACACTGGCATGTTCCTCATTCATCATGCCAGTAGAACCTCTACACTGAATTACACCAAATTACATTTCATCTGCTGTAAGCAATGACTGATTTCTGATTTGAAGACCAATATCCATAATACATTACACTCCAGATAGAAGAGTTGTAGATTTTCTTATCATGTTATTATTTATGATGTGTTTTCACTGATGAGTTCACAGTATATCAGCTAAGCATAAAAAATGTGAAAGTAGCAGCAAGGGAAACTATAAAAAGTTACAGACTGAATGACTGGATAACAAAATGGCAAGTGAAATGGAGCTCATGCAGGGAACCCAACTCCAACCTCACAGATGCGGTGATGGACTCCAAACAGATTACTACCAACCAGGAGAAAAATCTCAAAGTTAGAACAGGGAGTTCCCAGCTCTTGCTCAGTAGTAGAGGAGAAACTTTACCTGCAGAAGTATACAGAGTGCTCAGGATTATAGGGAAAGGGTAGAGGCTAAAGCAGAGGTCATCACTAGCCTACATTTAATACCCTCCACTAAAGCAGAACTGAAAAAAGTTCAGTGAAAGGGAACAAGGATGATCAAAGATGACCAATCCATATGTGGAAGTTCTTCCTGTTAAACTAGGACTCTTCAGTAGGGATAGAAATGAGATCCAAATGGTTATATAAAGAATGTGACTCTTAAGGTCTGGGAAGGGAACATTACTTGTATTGTGATCCCTAGAACGTGCTGTCCCTGTAGCAGCCAGCTCCATGAATTAACATTTTGGAGCTTTAGACCTTAGCCAGAAAGCAGAGGTCTCTGAAAATGGAGATGTTGCAACAGAACAATGAACACTCAGAGCTAGAGGTCTCTTCATATCAGTTCTCTCAGTCCTTTCCACTGTTTTTTTACACATATAAAGATCTAGTTGAGCAACAGTGAAAGAAAGCAAGACTCGCCTTCTCAAGGGCTCCTATGGTTATTAGCACTGAACAAAGGCCTTTTGGTGTGACAGTGCCACACTGGGGGATCACTGCCTAATGGCAAGCAACAAACACCCAGGTGTTCAACAGGGACTCCATGACAAGGAAAAGCTGAGGACCTCAGGGCAAGGAATAGTCCAAAGGCATGCAGGCTATAACAAGTCACACCTGTACCATACTTCTTTCCCTAAAAAGAAGAAAAAAGTAAGTAGAGAAGCAGTAAAACTCTCACTTTTATTTTACACCAAAACCAAATTGCTCCCAGCAAGTAGAAAATAGCCAAATCATCTATACATGGCTCTGAAGGGGCTGGAAGAAAGACACATAAAACTAACCATGGAGGCCATGCTATCCACTAAAAAAAAATTTAGGAAGGTCAATACTCTTGACAAAAGCTGCACTATCATGAGAGGTACAGCCTCCCAGCATGTTCACAAGACAAAATAACACAGGTTTCAGGGGGACACATAACAAAAGCAAGTAAAATGAACCTATGGAAACAGGTCTGTAATGTAGCTGGGGTCTGCTCACCCTTCTGTTAAAGCCACTGGGAACTGGAAGAGGCCTCCTGTGTACCAAATGACAAAATATAGATCCTCCAGTATTGTAAGATCAATGTGAATTCATTTAGCACTTGCAGAAATCACTACTTCAGAATGTGGTCATCACTGACATCTTCTCATGAACTCTGCATGGCAGGTACAGTGTCATTAGCAAGTTGTGCTTCATATCAAAAACCACTAAATATGACAATTAGACAATAGGACAAATTAGAAGTAAAAACAAACATATGAGCTGGGGCCAATGCCATGTATCATCTGCTATCTTCTAGCCAGTCATCTACACCCTCTGTGGGAGGGTATTTTTTTGTCCTTCCCTCTAACATCAATTGCATGGTCAAACACTGCTGAAATTCCTAAGGAGACCTCACACTGTTCTTATAATCTACATTGAAGATATTTCAGTGGAGCAGGAACACATACAAGTAATTCACTTGCATTTACTGTACAGATATTACATTTGAGCTGTTGACTTGAGATAACATGAAAACAAGATTATTTAATAAATAGAAAAAAAAAGAAAAAGAAAGGGGGAAAAATTATTTTACTAATATTAAAGAGCCTATCAGAAGTGGTTGGGGGAGAGGGAAAGGAACACTTCAGCCTGCAGTATCCTGACCCTAAAAAAGCCAAGAGACTGATGGCTGGGACAATAAACCACAATGTGCCAGACAATTCAATTCTGATGATCTCAAATCCAGTGAAATTTAAAGATACTAGGAATTTAAAGATACTAGAATCACTTAACCCAGGAGCTAGGTCCAGGCCATGTGACACATTTCTGACCTTTATGACATACCTAGGCACAGCAAAATATAAAACCACATTTAACAAGGTTTACATACATACATGATTCCAAATGTAAGATTTATATATTTTGTATTTTCAAGGTTAGCTGATACAGCTTTCACTTTTGGAACAGCCTAAAAAGCCTTCAATTTGAAAATGCTTCCAAGCAGCATGCTTCCCATGACCAATGCCTTTCATTCCATGACAGTATAAACCATGCAAAGTTTGGTGATGACATTTAAGCATCAGCACAAAATGTTCTACTGCAAATTACTTTATCTGGTACAACTTATAATAAGGAAAAAGATGAAGAATGAAATGGGAGTTACTATTTGAAGAAAGGAAACAAAATGTTACAACACAGATTAAAAAAAAAAAAAACAAGTTTACAAATAATGGCAACTGTGCTGGTCCTCAAGGAGACTGTATTTTCCTAAAGTCATGTTAGAATGTAAGAAGAGACAGTGGACAAATAATTATAATGGAATGAGTTTTGGAGGAAGAAGACAAAGAAAAAACAATTCCTGGTGCTGTACAAGCCTTACAGTCACATCAAATTAACTGAGAATTGAGAGAAGTATACATAGGCCTGGACCATGCCTGTGCATTGAACATAATTAAAAGCTTTTACCTCTACTTTCCACCTTCTCTTAAAACCACTTTCTCTGTGTCAAGATGCTTTCCATCACTCCAATTACTCTGCAAAACCAACTGCTTGAGGAGCTTTCACCATTGTCATCATTTTTGTATCTTCAGCAAACCTAGTATTTCTTTCTTTACAGCACTTTAAAAAATAATTAATTCTGAGAGTGTGAAAACAGCTAGATAGAGATCCTACAGTAAAAAACATAGAGATCCACTAAAACACCTATAGGAAGCCAAGAAATCCATCCAGCCTTTCCTTGTATGGCTTTTGAACCCCGTGCTGTAAAGGACAGATGTGCCTGGCACAGGATGAGGCTTTCCTGCACTGGCCCAACCCAGATCTTTGTTCCAGAGACAGCTGGATTTGGTGACCTCCTCTATTTGATCTCTTCCTTTCATCTATCCTGTTTACAGCAAAGTCTACTCCTCCAAAGAGGTCCAAGCCAGGATTCCTATCAGCATTTTTAATTAAATTCAAATGTATTTAACATTACTTAGAGCAGGAAAATAGGCAAGAACCTTCCAAGTACTTCCTTTTATCTTGACCATTCACTCAAGTGAACAGGGCCATACAGATCATGGAGTAGCAGTGTCTTGTTGCTGAAAACTTTAGAACTCTTTGGTCTTCTTCTAAATAAGTCTGTTGTGACAGCAGTAGGAAATTCATTAACTCTAATTCAAAAGCAACCACACAGAAAGTAAACTACAAAATAAGGCATTTAGACTATTGGACTAGATTTATTTTGGAAGAGTTCCCACTAGCACTCAGAAACTGAGTAACAGAGAATTACTGCCAAATATTCTCTCTTGCATCACAGAACCTTGACTGACATTGGGCAAGGAACGATTCCCCTTTCTATCCTCAGTTTCCCACTCAAATTTGTTTCAAAGAATGACACACTTTAGAAGCTGAATCACTCTTAACACACACTTCTCAAGTGGAGCTGTTACACACAGGCCTGATGCACTTTCTTTTAGCAAGCAAGTGCTGGCTGCTGCCTATCTGGAAAACAAACAAAAAAAAAATCACTTGGGGCAGCAGCAGGTTCCAATTTTTTTCATTCCAAGTTTCTGCAGGAAACAGTCACTATTCTGGAGATAGCAATCTTTGCTTGGCCATTTTGATTTTTTGGGGAAAACAACCTGGAATTCATGCAAAATACTTCTACCCTCCTCCCATCCCCATCAAATCCCCCTAGATTTGACTAGTCACAAAACAGAATCATCACTGCACTGGAAATTCTTTCCATTTCTGCATCTGAAGATGACTACTCCAACCTTATCCTCTTTCCTTAAAGGAAAAATAATTTCTGTTTTAAAATGTGGGGAAAAAAAGTCACTCTACACTACAGTTGTCTCTGTACACACTCTTGTCTTGCAGATGCTGTCCTTCTAATTTATGCTTTGGACCAAGATAACATCATCTTATTTTTGTGTGTTACCTGTTACATTTAGAGCATCTACAGAGCTAACATTAGCATTCCAACATTCATCGTATCAGCTTGATTTTTCAGAGTTCTTTATGTCAAATTCAGCTGACTTAACAAGGAAATAAAATGGAAATTTATTTCTGCCTCACCCTAACACCCTATCTTCAATGACCTTTTTCTAGGAACTCCATAGCAGTGAGTTTTAAATGCCCTGCTTAAAACAAATTTCCCAGAAGAGCAGTGAG